CCTTCGTTACTTAACTTGATGTTTGCCATGCAGAACAGCGCTCTCTATCGACGTCCAACGGGTCATCTTTCTTTTGGTAACTTTAAGCATGATGCCTTATACTACCTGTGGGAAGAAAAACTTACATCTTCCATGGTAAAAGATCATTTTGTCTGCGCTTTCCATTGTGTCGATGAGCCAAAGTGTTATTCGTTTAACGTAGCAGAGAGTCCTGACTCTAATGGTCTTTATCTTTGTGAGTTGTTGGTCACTGACAAGTACAGAGCAACAGGAAAGTTCTTTGCAAATAATACATTCCATCATTTCAGTCCTTTGGTAAGCTCTCCTTATATATTTGGTGATTTACACGTATTGATATCAATAGAAAAAATCATTATTTGCGGCTTGTTCTCGGTCTCTTTTCAGTCTCCATGTGAAAGCGTTCCTTGTAAGAACGGTGGTGTCTGTGTTCCTGAATATGTATCGAACTCCTATCGCTGTGACTGCAAGCCCGGATTCTGCGGAACTCACTGCAAACGTGGAGGTATCGACTACATTTTTTTTTTCTAGATGCTGAAAAATACATTTGTAAGAAAGTTAGCTTTAGATTTTGTTTGATTGACCAATTTCACTCAACAATCGGTTCAAACGTCAATAAACGTTCACAACCATAGTTTCTGGAGCGCTCTAAGAACCTCCTAAGTACTTCATATTTTTAACGCAGAGGTTTGGTACGTTTCAGTATGTACACTACGCCATTGGCGTGTACAATGGGAAAATGAAGCACGTTCGCTCTATTGCGCAAGAATTCACTGACTTTGTTCTTACTTTCCCAAATAAATGAAAGGTAATCTACTCCTACATTTTACTTTTTTCCATGAACTCAATCCGATGATAAGAACAGACCAAATGAGATATACTTGCAATTTCTTTCTTTTTCTTTGCTTTTAAGGAGACAAAACCTGCAGTAAGATCAAACTTTGTAATCTCCCAAGTGGCTCTTACGTCATCGACCCTGATAGAGAAGGAGGGGTAAGACCTTTCAAAGTCTACTGTGACATGACTGACAAGAAAGGCATTGGAGTGACAGTTGTCAGTCACGACAGTGAAAATAGGATGCGGGTGTATGGGTTTAGGGGAAGAGGTAGCTATTCTCGTTCCATCAACTACACGGAAGCCGATATGGCCCAGCTGGCGAAGCTAACAGCTTCATCAGCTCATTGCGAGCAGTTTATAAAGTACGAGTGTTTAGGCTCTAGGCTCCTCTTCAATGGTGATATGTACGGCTGGTGGGTGTCACGTGATGGAGAGAAGATGAAGTACTGGGGAGGAGTTGATTCCGTTGATTACAAATGTGCATGCGGCTTGAATAATACGTGCGCAGACACTAACTATGGATGCAACTGTGACATAGAAGGCAACACATGGAGAGAGGACAGCGGCTTCCTTACAAACAAATCCAAACTCCCCGTGAAACAAGTGAGGTTTGGAGATGCCCTTTACTATGGTGATAAAGGATACCACACACTTGGAAAGCTCAGGTGTTTTGGACTCATTTGAAACTCATTTCTTTGAAAAGTGCACAGTAACTGTCTAGGCGCTATTTGTAGACTCGGTTGATTCTGTAATCCAACAGGCTGCCTGTAAATTTGCTTTTTGCAGTTCGTTTTTAACGAACGAAATCGATCAACCAATTCAAAATAAAGAGAAAAACACCCTAATTTCGTCTGCGTAGTAGAATATTGCACATCCACTTTTAGAAGAGAAGAAGAAGAATAAAAAGAAAAGGAAGAAAAAGAAAAAGAGAAGGAGGAAAAGAAGCACGAAATTATGAGTTCATCCCTTCACCTGAAAAGTTCTTTTTGCTTTCCACCGTTATCTCGCAATTTGTTTCGTCGAGCAGAGTTAAAAGTAAAAAACTTTGAGTATATTTGCAACCTTTCAGGCCTTTAACACCACAAGATTTAAATTCCCTCGTGGAATTGCGAAAAAAACAACAACAACAAGAAACGATACGCAATCCTGAATTTTAACTTTGTTGGCCTAATTTACAAATTAAAAGGAAAAGCCTGACCTTCAGCATGAGTTTTATATAATACTGTACAGCTATCGATCACGGGTATGAAAAAAAAAACGTTCGTTTTGTAAGTGAGTCTCTCATCCTTGTGACAGTAAGCGCAACCATAAGGGACAGAACCCCATTTCAAAAATCGTGCATAACAATAGAGTTTACACAGATAAAATTGATATTGCAGATCAATTTAACAAACATTTTATTTATGTAGGTCCAAATCTAGCCCACAAGATTGGACACTGTGAAGGAAATCCTACCCAGAACATTAAATCAACCCCGGTAGACAGCTTTGTTCTATCTTGTGTTACTGAAACCCAAGTCTGCTCATTATTTAAATGCTTAAATGACCACAAGGCATCCCTAGATATCCCTAACAAATTAATCAAAATAGCTGCTCAACCATTGTCAATACCTCTAACATATATTTACAACCAGTCTATAGAAACTGGTATTGTTCCAGATATATTAAAAGTCTCTCAGGTGTCTCCAGTATATAAAAATGGAGATGCTACATTTCCCAGCAATTATCGCTCTATAGCAACTCTCTCACCATTCACTAAAATACTTGAACGACTAGTCTACAATCAACTATATTCCTTCAGAGAAAACATCAAATCCTATATAAATATCAATTTGGATCCAGGAAAGGATACTCCACTGAACAGGCTATTCTTGAAATTACAGACAATTTAAAGCTAGCAATCGATAGAAAATAAATCACATGTGGTCTGTTTCTTGATTTGTCAAAGGCCTTTGAGACAGTAAATCACAGCATTCTACTCTCTAAGCTCTCTTTATATGGCGTTCGAGGAGTCTCACATAAATGGTTTGAGAGTTATTTTCAAAATCGTAATCAATATGTCAAAATTGATTCCACTAGATCTGCCAATGAAAATATAACATGTGGCATACCTCAAGGTTCAACTCTAGATCCACTCTTATTTTTACTCTATGTTAATGATTTACCAACTTGCACTGATAAACTCTCAGTGCGGATCTTTGCTGATGATACTAACTTGTTTTTTACTAGTGACAACCTACATCATCTCGAATCTGTTATGAATCATGAACTTAAACAAATTTATAAATACTTTGTACTAAATAAGTTATCTATTAATTTTGCCAAAACTAATTACATGTTAATTTCATCTTCTAGATACCACCCCACGATAACTATTGAAAACATTGAATCAAAGAATTATATAAAATACGTGGGAGTCTACATCGATAAGTACCTAAATTGGCAACCGCAAATACAACATATAAACAATAAAATAGCAAGAAACATTGGAATTCTTACTATATTGAGAAATTATGTCGAATTTAATATGTTAAAGCAATTACCCTACGCTTTGATATYTCCCTATTTAACGTATGGTATAAGTACCTGGGGCTGTGCCACCAATACTAGCTTAAAATGCCTCTGTATCAAGCAGAACAAATGTCTTCGTAGCATCTTCTTTGCAAATGCTAGAAAGAATGCCAATCCCTATTATAAACTAT